CAGGAGCAGCGCCGCCGCCCCGGCCGGCCCCGGTGCCCCTCCTTCCCGGGGGACCTCGTCCAAACCCGCCCCGGCACAAAGCGGGAGCGCAGCCGGCTGCCGGTTTGTGTGGCCCGGTGGCGCTGGCCGAGCAGGCCCCGGGGAGGCACCGGCGCCATCGGATAATACGAAACCCCAGGGCTTTTTTATTTGGAAAACCTTCGTTTGGTCACTGTGTTAGAAGTGGTGAACTTGGCGTTGCTAAATGTGAAAGAGGCAGCAACGGCGTTTTGCAGGAAAGGCCGATTTTCTGGCCAGCCGTTGGGATTTGGGGGCTGAGGGGAAGGACGGCGGGGCTCAGTGCCGCCGCGCCCGGGCTTGCTTAGTCTGGGGGCGCAGAGCAAACGGGAGGAGCGGGCCCAAACCTCGTCCTGCTCTCCTTCGCTGCAGGCTGGGCGAGAACTTGTGTTACACAGCTAGAAAAACGTGACCTTCTGGAAAGCACGCTCTTTCAGAAGCCAAAAAAAAAAAAGATGCAGCAGGGAATATGTACTTCAAGTGTTAAAATTTTAACCTAATTTTATGGTGATGTTCAATGTGAAGGAAACTGATCCAGTGACCTTTACACATGCGAGTGATTCAGTTTCAGGTAACATCATCAAATGTGCAAGACGGGGTTGTAAAAGAGGGCAAAATGAAAGTATATCTATTAAACATTAAAAGCCCAGTCTTGATTTGCTGAAAAGAAAAATCAGACAAAAATGAACTCGCTTGCTAAAACATCCTGTTTGGTTTTGTGTTTGTTTTTTTTTTTTAAATTATAAAATTTTAATTAATTTTCTATTTAAATTCTAGATGCTTCACAGATGAGCTAAAGTGGAACCATGTGGAAATCGTTTTAATTTTTGTAATGAAAGCTCTGTTTTAAGACTTGTGGAGTCCCTCAGAACATAGTAATATTGGGCTTCAGGACAGTTAACTGTAAAGAAGAACAAGAAATGGAAAGAAAACCAAGAGACTTCCAGATCAACAGGCAGAGCAGAAAGATACATGGTAAATATTCTACTGTGGTTTTTTTTTTTTTTCTTTTCAGCCTCAGCATTTAATATTGTTTGTAGTTAACTGAAGAAATAGGTGGGAAAAGTTCTTTACAGAAGCTAATTAAGTCAGACAAAAGAGGGAGCTCTTCTTACACCTGTCCCTCTTTTCCCTATGATTACTTTACAAAGACCCTGATGCAACAAAATAATTCCTGTGTAGGAATATACTTAAATGCTTTCCAAAATAGCAAGCTTTGTTGAGGGAGGGAGGTTAGAGAAGCAATTCATACCCTTGCTTTAGTTATTGGCGATTGACAGTGTCTTTACACGACACATTCATGCTGATGTGGGTTTTTTTACAAGACTGGAAGATGAAGAAAAGTCAATGGAAATGTAAAAATGTTGTCTGAAGCAGACTATGGTGAATTATAGAAAAAAACACCACCAACCACAACTGTGTAGTGTGAACATATGCCATTTGTTCAACAGGATAATTAATTGAGAGGAATGAAGTAAAATAGATATTAAAAAAAAAAGTAAATTAGAATACAGTGAAGTATGTTCTAAAACTATCGAGCAGTTTGATAGAAATGACCAAGATGGTCCTGAAGCTATTTGACAGTTTTATGTTGAGGATACCAATCCACAAACCAAATTCTAGTACTTTTACAAAATTTTGTGCACACTTTTTGTGCATAGTCTCACTGAATGTGAGACTATTATGTATAGACCGACATTTTTCTTAGAGCAGGCGCCATTACTGCTGTCTAAAAATGTGTAGCTTACGCAGCGGTCCTTTGGGCTGTGCTTCCTGATTATCACATGGGCAGCACTTCCTCACAAGGACTGGTGAAAGCAGAAGGATTTTCTGCTTAATCGTGCCAGTTTTGTTGATGGCCCCTTGTCTTCATCCAGTTCTGGGACAGTTAAGGCAGTAGCAAAACTCCCCCTGCTTGCACATGGCAGGATCAGGCCCTGGATGTTCCTTCTTGGCATTACTATTTCACGCTGCTGTATATTGGTGTAGGAAGCTGGTGCTAATTTGAGAAGCTGATGGGGGTTTTTTATGACTGAGAGTATTAATTTTTAACTTTAGATCTGTACCTTGGTTTTGTAGAATTAAGTCTATGTGTATAATATATAGACTTTTAATTGTCATGTATTTATATTGTTATATAAATTGTGTGTGTATATATATGTGTGTGTGTGTAAATATATATATATATACACACACACTCAGTAAAACCCTACTTCATGTTAAGAGTTTGTTGGATACCAGAAATATATATATATATATATATATACACACATACATACAGAGAGAACTTAAGATAGTAAAGATGCTTTTTTATTTAAGTTAAAGATTCAAGTTTTAAAATTCCTTTGTTGTTTGTGACCAGCTGCGGTTAAATTAATAGAACTTAGAGCTACAAAAATTGCCCCAAGCTAGATGATCAGATGAGGTATATTAACTTGATAAAAATTGTCTGAGTTTGTAGCTGAAAAAAACTACCACCAGAGTTGTTATTTGGGTAGTTGTGGCATTACAGCAAATCTCATGATCATAGTCAATCTGTCAATTAATAGGTGGTCTGAAGTCTAATTTTGCAGTAAGCCTAAAGAATCAACTGCCAAGCAAGGCAGCATCCTGAGGGTTTCTAGTGACCTAGACCTTGAGATGATGGAAGTTCGTTAAAGTAGTCTGGTTGCTGTCCTTTCTGTGAAGTTCACGTATTGCCAGTGCAGTCCTTTTCCAACCACTGCTTTCAGTATGGTTGTCCATTTTAAATAAATAAACAACCGCAATTGAAATGCAATATGAAATGTGGAGAAAAACCAAAGTAACAACAAGAAAACAATATTTTAATTTCCCTGCTTTTATTAGAGACTTTTGCTGCGGAATCATGTGACTAAAATTCTTTTCCCACAGGCTTCTGCAAAATTGTGGTAATCATAGAGTGTTAAGAATTTTCAAAATATGTTCTTGAAAGATTTGTACTAATTGTTGCTAAGTGACAGGGCTGCTGATTGTAAAAAAGGACTAGTGTTCATTTCTGCATGGGTGATAAGAAGGAAGTATTTAATTTTCCGAGCTTCAGATATTATACCGTGAAATGAGACTCCTTGTCACGTGATGGCTAATCCAGTCATAATAGCTGGCGACTTTTGTATAGACGCCAGGGTGACCAGCCTCCCCGCAGTTCTGACCCCAACTCACAATACCCCAGACATACGCCACATTTTCTGCATCAAAACAGACCAAGGGTCCTCCTGAATCACCTTTGCAACTGTCTATGGAGCCATCATAAGTACCTGAAGCAAAAGAAGAAATAAAAAGCAAAATTAAGTTCATATACAAGCTAGCACACAAAACAGAGCTCAGGAGGTCTTTCAGGTCCATATCGCTTCCTGACAGATGTTTGCTTAATGGTCAAATTACTTCTAATTTCTTTTTAAGTGCAGGGCCTCTCTTTACATTTGTGGCTAGCCCAAATTCTCCTCATTTGCTTTGATGTCAGTGACGTGAGTCTTGTTTTACCCTGTGCAATGGAGAAGAATTCAGCCATATTGCCTATTATATCATTAGAAGTAGGTCATAAAAAGTGAATAAAAGCGGGAGGAAAAGGTAAAAAGGTTTGTAGGCTGATTCCTGTGGAAACGAAGCTATCGTAATATGTGTATGCCTACGTGTCTGCCTTTGGTGTCCTCTCTACCCAGTAATTCATTGGCCAGTTTTATCCGTACAGAGCTGTACGCAGAGGCAAAGGCCTCAAAATTATTTTCTCTACCAGCTTTATGAAAACGGGTGGGCAGGTACAAGAAGGAGAGCATGTGAATGCCGGGATGGGAGGGAGAGCAACTGTCTGTAAGTGCCTTCACTGCAAGGTCTTGGTCACGGTGTGGACCTTTTGCAACACCAGACAGCGGCCCTGAGGCACAAGTGTGTAGGATCCAGTGGTCTTTATAAGTTTTGGTGCCCATGGAACTAGTTGTTTGCAATTCAGCAAATATAGTGCTCATGAAAAAATGAATTAAGAGTGAAGGATGTGATATAAACAGAAACACTGCTGCAGAGCTAGAATATGATTTGTGCTTTGTCCTATATACTCAGTAAAAGTTTATTAATTTCTAACACCCTTACTACACTTTTCTGCTTGGTGGCTGGACCTAGTATGAAGGAACCCATACTAAGCATGAGTCTCCAAGTTTTTAAAAATGTAACCTCTTTCTCGAACCTCTACGTTACTGAGAAGGAGTTTTGTGAACTTCTCAGAGTTGAAATTACTAATCCTATAAAACAAGATTTTATTGCCTTTACTCAGTTTAATTAATATTCGCTTGTATAACTAACTCCCGTGGTTACTAGCCCTTAATTCCAAAGTTTGTGTTTGCATCAGGGAGGGGAAGCTAACCCCAGGTACCCCTTTTCTGATGTTGTCCCATGCAATACTGTCTTTGTTCCCTCCTGGTAAAGTCTGATCGCTTGAAATACATTGAAGATCAAGGAGATAAGTTATGGAACTTGCACAGTAGACAAGCCCGGTATCTTATAGATGTCATGCTGAATTTATCACAAATGATCTGGCTTTTATATCTGGTTTTTATTTTTCTCGTTAAGTAGTTTGCTTAAATATTGCCTTTAGCTTTTGATTTAAAGAACAGTTGAAACTGCCCTGTAAGTTGAATACTCATTGCTCTCTTATTCACGTATTTGGTAATACCTTTCATTACTTGAGAAGCAAAAAATGTGCATTCAAACCCCTTATTTTAGTAATAGGAGTGATAACCAGTTTCCTGGCCAGACTAATCTTAGTTTGAAAAGTTAATTGTATTTTTCCTGGGGTGCAGTGTGGTAGTAGCAAATGTCTAGGCAGATGAATAGTCACATTCTAGTCAACGGGACTACTAATGTGCTCTAAGACAGGCATTTGCTGAAATATGTTGCTGAATCAATCAGAATCAAATATAGTAAAGTGCTTGTGTATTTAGAAAACATAACTCAAATTGCATGCTGAAATTTGCCCACGTAATCATGGAAACTTGTCATATCTTAACTCTGTTTATAAACAGATATATAATGGCGGATGCATCTAGGCTCCAATGGCTAGCATTTCACTAATGGTGATACTGTGGCTATCGGTTTATTGTCTTTCCCAAGGCTGAAAGATTCCCCGCCAGTATATCTGACCTTATAAACAGTGGGTTTGATGGTAGAGAAATTATAATAAGAAAATCGATGCTTGCCTGCACATGCCATTTTTTTAAAAAATCGTCCTGGATACAATTCAGAACAATTCTGAAATAAATTAACATTGCCCCACTTGAGGATATATTGTTTGGTATAACCTAGAAAAGAAAAGAATAAACTTTTCTAAATTAAAAATGGTAAGTACATATTATACACTTTTAATATCATAAATTGAAAGTTATATGTTTGCTTATCTATACAATATAATCTTCAATATTATAAACCAGATACCTTAAACTGCCACTAACACACCATACAAATTGCAGTACATTGGCCATATATTTCAAAATAAAAGCGGAGTGGTTTAATTGCAGTGTTAAATACAGTACTTTCATTTTGCAACATTTCCACCCTTTCCCTTTCCTTGTCTTCCTCAGTTTTTTCTTGTGTTTTCTATATCAAGGTTTTCAGACACTGAGAAACTGGTATATTGTTTTCTATGAAATGGAGATGTGGCTCTGACCATCCTTGTTACCTTTTTTCCCAATTCTACTCTGTCTTTTTGGGATGAGTGGACCAGATGTTGAAGATACAGGTTAACTATGTATTTACAAGGTTAAGGAGATTCTCTGTTTTGTTCTTTGTCCGTTTGCTAGTAATTCCCAACTTTGCTCTTGCTTTATGGACTGCTACTGAGTATGGACAGGAGAAGCCTCACAACCAGTATGCGGTAGCTCCAGCTCCAGGCTGTAATCACAGTGATACAAAACAAATGCTTCCCAAATCTTTGAAAGCGTCATTACACTTGGCTTATCTGTCTCTGTGCAACATTCTCTGGGCTACATTCAAACAAGGCCGAGACAAGGTGTGCTGAGTTTCGTAACCGTTGGCTGCAGCTCAGATCCCTTTGGGCAGGGGACAGAGGATGGGCTGTGACTATGGGCCACTCTGAGCTGCTAGCCGCCACTTGTTCAATATTGTTACCAGGTCTCCACAGCTAATATAAATCTTAGATTGGTAAAAGGAACATTGCTTACTGTCAGGGTAGTTTTCAGCCAGGGGTGTCATCCAGATCAATTTACTAAGTGGCTGAAACAGCAGAGGAAGCGGTACAGAAAAGAGAACCAACAGTGACAGCCGAATGCCGAACCACAGCCTACGTTTTTCTGTACTCAGCCTCTTCCGAGTGCTTTGTGCGCAACTATTCTTTAGCCTTTTCAAAAGGAAAGCTCACCGCAATTAGAAAATGAGTGATACAAAGAACACTGAAGCAAATACCTTTCTCTAGTCCCCATCCAGAAACCTTGCATCTGTCACCAGCATGGAACATATACTCTGACCAGGGGATACAGGCAGGTGTGCTGTACTTCAGGAAGCATTCTTCTCCCCCAAAATCTTTCATCTCCAGCAGAGCAATGTCATTTTCATAAGTTGACGCATTATAATTTTCATGGATTATCACTTTTTTTACTTTGAAAGTATCTGTCTCTCTGTCGTACAGTATTGTATGCAACAGTCCAACCCAGACACGGTACAGATTAACTCGACTTGCCCTGGAAAAAAAGAGTGACATAAAATATGTTTTGGTACTTAACACAAGCGCTGTACATTTCAGCTAGCTGTAAACTTTTGCATTTTATCAAAGTTTTTCTAGAATAAAAATTCATATTATATACATCTAGTTTCTTTCTGGACTTGATGTCCAGGTTTTTCTGAAGTATAGCAAATGCAAGGCAGATGACACTTACTGCTGAGTACTGCAGCTAATACGGAAAACAATATTAAAGGCCAGCCTCTGCGTTTAGTGCTGTGACAACGAGAAAGCAGGCATTTATGCCTCTCCGATTTCAAGTGAAAGAAGAGTGAGCAGATGTGGATGGGATGCTGGGACTGGCAAGTATTCTCTGCCTGCTCTTGCTTGTTCTGGGGAATATATGACCCCAGGGACATTTTCAGGGAACAGATCCTGGACTTCCCCAAGGTAGAGCTGGGGAAGAGAGGAGGTCCCTTGTATCTCCCTTTCAGGCAAAGTGGTTATGGTGAACCTTTCCTGCCTGCCTACTGTCTGACTGAAGAATGCCATGTCTCTTCAAACTCATCATAACTTTTTCATCTTTCTATTCACTGCCAAAATATTCTACTTTCTCTGAATCTTCCCTATCGTTAATATGGGTGAGTCAGTGTTTTAAATTGTTTTATTCTGTAGGCAAATAGGAATTAGCAAACACGTAGCTAAGAAGGGCAATAATATCCAAATCAATCTTTCTGCCTTGCAAGAAGAAAATAATTTCCCAGTTTGTTGTTTTTACCTGACACAGTGTGCAGCAGTCAGAACCCAACAGCCACCAATATAAACCCCTCCACAGTACACTGTTGCACCTTCACTGCCAGTTTCTTTAATTGCCACTTGCCAAGGGAATTCACCCTATTCAAACAACAAACACCCAAATAATGTGAAATCATAACAATTGTACTACTTTAGTGCATAAAGGGAAACACACTTCTTGGCATCACCTCATCTCCTTGACTATATCCGATTGTAAATAAAAAATCTGCTATCCAGAAACTGTGAATTGGGCTCCATCTGATATAAAGGATATATATTCTAAAATGCAGTAATTTCGTTCCGTCTTCTAACTTTGTGCGATGCCTCCTTCCCTCCAGCTTTCTGTCATGAAACCCCTTGTAGCCAGAGAAACAGATGTAGAATCTGACCTGGTATGATCGAGTATAGCATTTTCGACTGTATTCTGTTTTAAAGGTGCAAATTTAAATTCCATGTTGTCAGAATTGTTATTTCTAGCTATAGTATTAAGTATTTTGCTGAATCATTTTCAATGTGTACTTGTACTGTAATGATCGATTTTGCAACTCCATATTTTATTTTTAAATTGTGCTTCTCTTTACCTTCGTGCAGTGCAATACCACTACTGCTGCAAAACATGAAATTCGTGTTGTAGCTGATTTTGTTATTTCCGTACATTCTAATGGAAAGACAATAATGCCCATTTAAATTGATGCTGAATGAACTCATAACTGGCAAGGTTGTTGGGGTTTTTTTACCTTTTTTGCAATCTCTCCACCTACAATTCTTTTCCGTCGAGTTAATGTGTGATTTGTAAGACCGCAGTGTAGTTGGGGAAGACGTGTCTTTATCATTTTTCTCTCTTTAACAAAAAGGAAAAAATGTGTCTCAGAATTCAGGTATCCGTTCTCTCTATTTGGAGACAGGTTTATCTTTATCTTGAAAATTTGAGTGCTGTGAGTATGCCAGTAGCTGAAGTAGCAGGAAAGCAAAGACCAAAAAGTTTGGCATCTGTTTTTGCTTTGAAAATTGCTTATGTCTTAGCATCACATTACTTCTCTTCATTTTCCACTGCTGCTTGCATTCAGGCAAAGAATTTTAAAGCAGTTCCCCTAGATTTGCTGAGAGTTTACCTCCACCAGTTGCCAAAACATGCAGACGTGTGTCCTCAGCCAGGATGAATTATTATGGCATCTTGAAATTAGTGGAAAGCGAAACAAGGAGTAAGCCCCAGAGTGTCTGTTACAAAGTCCAAATATCTGAGCGTTCTGGATCTGGCCAGCTGGCTGGTAGCTAGGAAGCCACTAATAAGAGGGTATGCTGTTGTTTTTGGAGGGTTCGTTACACTTACCTTCATCCATACTGTGATTTTCAGCACCTTTGTCTTTGCCTGTAGTAGAATAAGAAAATACTAAAAACATTGGCAAACATTTAAATTTGTTCTATTACATGAATATATGTTTGTGTGCCAAAATTGCGGTACACGTTTTAAGTGCGTAAGGGCACGCCATTTCACATGGACAGCAATACTCTTTCAGCCTGGTGCCTGCTGTCTCCTTTCCTGCTAGACACTCTTTGGCTGCCTCAGCCTACAAATGACGTACATCCAGCAGATACTCATTCGTAACTACATGACATCGAGTCTGCTTGCCGTGCCTAGGGAGCCCTTCTGCAAAGAAACCCTGAGAAATGGCCTTTTTTTGGTTTTTGATCTTTAAAGTGATATCCCATTCTTCTCCACCAGGAAACAACAGAAATTCCTCCTCCTGCCCCATCAACCTTTTGGAGCTTTCTAAAGCCCAAAGGAGCATTAGGTAACAGGATTATTATTTTTTTTTTCAATTTAGATGATGCTGTTGTGTACTGTGTGCCTCCTTTAACAGGATAAGGGAGGGTATTCAACATAAGAGGCAAATTAAATGCTTCCTGAATCTCGTTTTTCAGCTTTTATTCAAACAAAATGCCCATTGAATTCAGTTCCTAAATGGAGATTGAGGATTGGGCCTGTTCTCATGTTACTGACAGTAATGTTTACATATAGAGTTCAGTTTACCTTCACCAATTACCATTTACCAATAGTGTTTACTTTTGGCTTTAGACTTTGTCTCTTGTCAGAGCAAGGAAAAACATTCTAATTTCAAAACAAAACAAAATCTTTTGAACAGTGAGGGGAACAGCACAGAAGAATTATTGTATTGACAAACTAGTCAAATTCCTCATCTGTGAGGAAAATATTCCTGCCTGCCCTGTCTATGCTTTCCTCACAAATAGGGGATACCAGTCTGATAGATGGCCACATAAGCAAAAGACATAATCTGCCTTAAGTCTCCTAAAACATCATCTGTTTCTTCCTTCCTCTAGTTTTCTTACTATTCTTTTCTAGAAGGAAAGGGAGGAAAATTATGTAACCTTTTCTTCCTACTATGCATAACATAACATTGGGAAGACTAATTCTTGCATGCATTTTGGTTTTGCTAATCTGCTAAATAATTTAATAATATGCATTGTGTATTCTCTCGTTATAATTGAGCAGAATGAAAGGAAAGAAACAAAAACATCGTTCAGAAGGAGACCTGCACAGAGAACTCGAGCTTCATCCTCTCCTGTGAGGCAGTCAACTTCTTTGTTACAGACATTCTTATTTGGAATACAGATATTTGACCGACAGTGGAAACTGTTGCCTCTGCACTCTGTAACACAAGAGAATGACAAATGTTCATCACAGGATCATATGATTCAGCAACCTCACATACTTAGAGAGCTTTTTAAAATATAAACACAATATAATATCCACGTTATGGGGGACTTGGCTGTTCGTAAAGAGATCACAAAAGCAGGCTCTGTAAGCGTAAAACAAAATGAATACTTGGCTCTCCTCATTTTACAATCTTGACGTTTTCAGACTTAAAAAATGTGGATCTCTGTTACCAGTTCAGTACTGTACTTCTAGACTTGGTATCACTCCTTACCAGTTTCATCCACAACACATGCCCACACTCAACCTCAGCCAAAGGACCTCCAGTTTTGCCAGCATTACTGATCATTTCAAATGAGGTATTTGTGATGCTTGGGTCAAATTCCCCCCCCCCCCCAAACTCTTTCCAGGCGGGGTTTTGTGCAATCAGGGTAATTGCC